TCAGGGGGAGGTACACATCAGTCAATAGAAAACTACATAAGAGGTACACATCAGTCAATAGAAAACTACATCAGGGGGAGGTACACATCAGTCAATAGAAAACTACATAAGGGGGAGGTACACATCAGTCAATAGAAAACTACATCAGGGGGAGGTACACATCAGTCAATAGAAAACTACATAGGAGGTACACATCAGTCAATAGAAAACTACATCAGGGGGAGGTACACATCAGTCAATAGAAAACTACATAAGGGGGAGTTGCACATCAGTCAATAGAAAACTACATAAGGGGTACACATCAGTCAATAGAAAACTACGTAAGGGGGTACACATAAGTCAACAGAAATCTACATAAGGTGGAGGTATACATCAGTCAACAGAAAACTACATAAGGGGGAGTTACACATCAGTCAATAGAAAACTACATAAGGGGAGGTACACATCAGTCAATAGAAAATTACATAAGGGGAGTTACACATCAGTCAATAGAAAACTACATCAAGGGGTACACATCAGTCAATAGAAAACTACATAAGGGGGTAGGTACACATCAGTCAATAGAAAACTACATAAGGGGGTAGTTACACATCAGTCAATAGAAAACTAGATAAGTGGGAGTTACACATCAGTCAATAGAAAACTACATAAGGGGGGAGGTACACATCAGTCAGTAGGAAACTACGTAAGGGGGAGGTACACATCAGTCGACATAAAACTACAGTAGAATAAAATTTGTTAAGATTTAACAGTCAGTCAGGAAATGGTAAAGTTCAGGTGTTGTACTTTGTTTTTGTAGCAACAAAAATGTTAATGTTCACTGTAACCATACTGTCCAGATAGGCTGTAAACTTCCATCAGTTTATTGATATAGGTCTCATCTATTTATTTAGGCTGAGAAGATAAAAGCGGAGTTCTCGGAGACCAAGAAAGATAGTTGAAAGTTATGATTAATATTTTGGTTTCAAGTGTTATAGTTTGGTTCTGAATTCATTATGTTTAGAATAAGCTTGTGTTTAAGTGTAATTATCAAACATATACAATTTTCTATAAATATTGAAATCTAACCCTTAGTAACAAGCAGAATCTGGTTTTCTTGGGCACTTACATTTGTATTCATGATAGTGACATAACTAATAGTTTCTTCTATTGTAATTAAAACTGATTTATAAATGAGTTACTGCTAATATACTAAAATTTCCATCAAAACAACACATCTGTAGTCAACGTGTTTTTTAAGTAAATTTTAAAATAAAGCTCTACTTCAATTTTGTTTACTTCTCACGGATTAACAACAGATTTGTCATTACGACCTTGAATATTAACGAAATATTTGTCATTAACGAGCGTCATTACGACCTTGAAGATTAACAACAGATTTGTCATTAACAAGTGTCCTTACGACCTTGAAGATTAACAACAGATTTGTCATTAATGAGTGACCTTATGATCTTGAATATTAACGAAATATTTGTCATTAACGAGCGTCATTACGACCTTGAAGATTAACAACAGATTTGTCATTAACGAGTGTCATTACAACCTTGAAGATTAACGACATATTTGTTATTATGACCTTGAAGATTAACAACAGATTTGTCATTAACAAGTGTCATTATGACCTTGAAGATTAACACTGTATTTGTCATTAACGAGTGTCCTTATGACCTTGAAGTTTAACAACAGATTTGCTATTAACAGGTTATTACGACCTTGAAGACTAAAACATTTGTCTTTAGCATGTGCTCTTATAATCCCAAGGATTAATAAGATTTGTCATTAATGCATGCATATATTAAACCTTATTTTGCCAGTTGGGTGGATTTTTTATTGTACTTAACATTTATGAAGTTAAACCAAAATATCCATTTTTTTTTGGTAGAATTAAGTTTCCAAAAGTATGTATTTCATAAAAATCCAGAGGTCTGTCATTATGGTGTACTATCTATTTAGAATTTATGTATTGAAAATAATCCATAAAAACATTATTTAAAACTTGAAACGTTGAGTACATAGTGTCTTTCAGGTGACTGAAAACGAAGTCTGGAATACATTATAGCTGAGACTTGAAATACTGTATTTGTCATGTATTGTAAATTAAATGTGTGTGTATTCTTATTCAGTTAATAATTGTATGGTAATAAAGATTTGTTGGGTTCATCGTATGTAGTTCTATATTAAAACTAACAACGGTTAATTATTTTTATCCCAAGAAGAATCAACTGTCGTTCTGATGTGTATAAACGCTGAACTTAAAAGAAGTGTGTCCCGTGTGACTACCCTAATTTAGCGAGTTTTGTTCACATTTAGAACAACCAGACTTATCATGCATTCGTTATTCCAAGATTTGGAGAACTGTATTTCATCAATAAAATATTGTGGACTCCATCCATCTTGATGTGTACTACTGATAACAAATGTCTTTACTGAGTTACTGTTAACAATGCAAAGCCATCCAAGGATAGTATGAAAACAAATATTTTACTTTGGAAATTCTCACCTCATTCGAAATGTACACATACCAGGATGAACTAACAGAAACACTGTATCAGATTTCAGTTTCCATACTTCTGTAGCAGATGCACAGACAAGAAAATAACAATATTTTCAACATGTACAACAACCAGACTATGAAATCTGTTTATTATAAATGGCCTTAGACCATTAGCATCGGGTAAAAATAACTATGTACAAATCTCATTGTTTTATTTTGGCCTTATTTTTTTTACAAGATTTCCTCCTCAACTTACTTTTATGAGATCTACACTGGTATACTGGAAGATCATTCCCACTTATAATTAGCTGGAAGATCATTCCCAACAAATCAAAAGGTCTTTGTTCAATGTTCTTATAATTATGTTCTTATAATTAGCTGGAAGATCATTCCCAACAAATCAAAAGGTCTTTGTTCAATGTTCTTATAATTAGCTGGAAGATCATTCCCAGCAAATCAAAATGTTCTTATTCAAGTGTTCTTATAATTAGCTGGAAGATCATTCCCAACAAATCAAAAGGTCTTTGTTCAAGGTTCTTATAATTAGCTGGAAGATCATTCCCAACAAATCAAAAGGTCTTTGTTCAATGTTCTTATAATTAGCTGGAAGATCATTCCCAACAAATCAAAAGGTCTTTGTTCAATGTTCTTATAATTACTAAGCCTCCTTAGTTCTATGAAAACCAAATGATAACTTTTTCATCCTCCAAGGATTACGATGTCTTCTTTGTTATATTTATTTAATAATAAGTATGTCTTGCTTGTTATCTCTCACCTCCAGGGATAAATATGTCTTGTTATCTGTCATATCCAAGAATGAATATGACTTGCTTGTTATTCTTTCAATTTCCACCGTGAAATGTAAAATGTTTGTTGTTCTATTTCAACTTCCGTAACAAAATATGCTTTTATTGTGTTTCTATCACGACTGGCCCAGGCTGTGAACAGGAAATGTACATAGGTCAAACCTCCAGAGGGCTATCCATATCATCCCCAACATTGAAATGCATTTGGTGTTCATTGTCTCGTCACTGTAGTTGAGCTTATTAAACCACTGATTGTCAGGCACGCCCAATCCTGTAATAACAAAAATCTATGGTAACTTAATATGTTACGTATAATACGCGAGACCGAAATCAATGCTACAAGACCAACTTTTCCATGTCTTACAGTTAAATTAGAGAACAGGTTAAACATTCGCCAAGTTTTTATTATTTTATTTTATGAGGATGACGTTTCAAGCTAGTGCTCTTCGTACAGCTACGTATTCATGTTTTACATTTAACCATCAAAAGTATTTGTCCATTTCCAACCTCACTTTCCTGTCCTTCATTTAAAGTGTTCACTGCCACTAAACCGTGTTCTTTGCTTCATTTGATCACTGTCTACCCTATCTGAAAGGTTTTGTATCACTGTCAACAACCGCTCCATTGTTCAGACACTGGTATCTTCATCTGGTTTGTCTCGCTGTCAACAAACCATTCCGTTATTCACACACTGCTATCTACAACTGGTTTGTCTCACTGTCAATAAACCATTCCCTCGTTCACACACTGCCATCTACAGTTGGTTTGTCTCACTGTCAATAAACCATTCCCTCGTTCACACACTGCCATCTACAGTTGGTTTGTCTCACTGTCAATAAACCATTCCCTCGTTCACACACTGCCATCTACAGTTGGTTTGTCTCACTGTCAACAAACCATTCACTTGTTCACACACTGCCATCTACAATTGGTTTGTCTCACTGTCAATAAACCATTCCCTCGTTCACACACTGCCATCTACAATTGGTTTGTCTCACTGTCAATAAACCATTCCCTCGTTCACACACTGCCATCTACAGTTGGTTTGTCTCACTGTCAACA